TGTTTAGGTTAAGTTTGGTTTTCTTTTAATAATATCATCAGTTGTAATCCACTGTTGTACGTTTATTTAGTTCTCTTATTGCTATTATATCGCTGTATAGAGCCTTAGGTTTATTATTCTACGGTACTGATGTTAACCAAGGATACCCTAAAACCCCGAGGGTTGTACCACTGCCTTGGTCGGGGGCACACGTTCCCAATTTTCTCCACTTGCTGGTTTTAGGGTTTTCGTGTCCGGCTTTGGTGCACTTACCAATTGTCTTTTTATTCATAGCTTGTATTATATGCTGAGATGGAATAAACGGGACGATGGCTTGGCTGGCCAACGCACCCAATTTAATCACTGTCTAGTGTGTCCGGATGTGTAGTGGAGGCAAAATAGAAAGGAGATAAGGGACAGTCTGGAGCCCAGGGTCCTGCCGGTCTAAAAGGACAGCGAGGAGAGAAAGGTGACAGTGGAACTTCAGGATCAACTCAGCTTTCCTCGCACATGAACTGGAAAGAATGCACCTGGAAAGAGAAGGACGACAAAGACTCAGGTAGACCGGAATTGACCTATTTCGCAGGAAAAGAAGCCTGAAAATAGACCGGTCTGTAAAAATGCCGTAACATAAGCTTAGTATGGGAGTTGCACGCTGCTAGTGATGGACTCACGACAGCATGAGCGCAGTAATGTATTTAACAAAGTTAGGTCATTTGCCACTCTCTTCTCAACAAAGGACATTATTATTACCATCGGATGACATTTTATTGAAAAAAAGGTCTTCTGGAGCTAGGTACTTTGATCAGGCAAGACATTTTTAGTAGTCCCAGTCATCACCTCTCATGGAGGGTAAGGATTTTAACGGGGGAAGGGAAGCAATTAATTAACATCGTAGAGTTCCATTATTGTTGGCAGTTTTCAATTAGGTTCTAAATCTCAAATTGCAACATTTTGGTCGTTTTGGGAGCCCTCAAGGTACAAGCCACCCCCCACTTTTGAAAAATACTGGATCCAGCCCTGTGTGATGACGTATGAAACTCTTCATGATTCAATTTAGACGTTATTCCATCTGATCTGACGGAAGTTTTTCAGATGTACGTATCGATTTTTTTAAAAGCCATCTTTGAAAATATCTTCGCAGTTAACTAAACTACATTTTAGTATTTCTTTAACAATTTCTTTTTCACCTTCCCTAAACAAACTCACATATAGTGTGTCTTCGTCTTTTAACAACGGCTGTGTTAGGAGGGGTATCGAGCCCACTCTCCTGGATGAGGTGACATGAGGAAAAAACGGAAGAAAAGGTTATTATTTCAAAAAAGCTAGCTGAGAGACTATCACTTTAACGGGATGATTTTTACACCTCACCGCACGAAATTAGAGTGAAAGAGACAAAGTGAGTGGACGTACATGTAATAGAAAGGGATCGGGTTAATTAAATATTAAACTTAAAGAGGGAGTCTACGAAAGAGGCTGGAGGAGTTTACAAGAGAGAAAATTGATAGCACATTGACAGGAAGTAAAATGTTCATTCACTTTTTTTTTATTAGACATCTTAGAGTCGTCGTCTTATAATCTAACGACCTACTTGCTTAAACAGTGTCAAAGTGTTAATCTTGGAAAGTAAAACAATTTCTTTCTAATTTGCATTGACTGAAAAAACGGAATAGTGGTGCGGGTTTTAGCTAAAACCAGTCCATTCTGTTTCGTTTTCTGATATTTTTATCGTTTCAATTTCAAAACTATTAATATCTAGATCTTGAACGTAAACGCGGCAAACAAAAAACAGCTTTTCGTGACTGTTAACGTTATTTACCGGGACTTTCAAGAAAGGAGCCCGTGGTCATACTTCACAGAATTGTAGGTATGTTCCTTTACCCAACGTCCGCTATTGTAGAAGCAGAGCTCTTTATATCTGCTATCACCACAGATTTGCGTTCTGAATTGACCCCTCGAACACTGAGCTCGAAATCGGTTCCTAACGTCGCAGTACGCTCAATGTCACGTGATCTTGATAACGATATACAGCGCATGACGGCCACAAATGCTCGTCTGTAGTCAGACCTGCGCAGTGTGTAGATGACGACGTTTAGGACAGAGTTTAAATGCAAAATCCATACAACTAGAGTGGTCACTATTGGCGGCATGCTAATCTGGGTAACCGCCATAAGTCCACGAGTGATTAGGAATGGTATCCATAGAATGAGGAAAACAAAAATCACAACTAATATGGCGACGGTAGCCTTGCCCTCGAGACCTGCAAGACAACGAGGAAATAGTGTGAGCTACTGTATGAGTTCTATTCAGGGATTTGCAGAAATTTACAGATTGCTCTTTCACTTTCTACATAAATATACATAGAGAAATAAAACTGACTACCAAGACATTGGGAGATCTTCGATTGTCGTCGGAACTCTTATCGCTATGTTATGTTTCTTGGAACGTCTTCGGGTCCTATATTCGTAAAACTTCGGATCAGAATTGAAATCTTCAGAAATCGCCGGGATTACTGAGATATTCGGGATGAGTTTGACACTCCAAAATGCAAAACCCGCCTAATGATAATCGAAAAATATTGTTATTTGTGTTTCAAAATGTTCCCTCCATGTTGTCATGGTAACGGCTTTCCCTAGGCCAAAGGCATGTCACATTGAATGCAACTACCATGATGCACCACAGGCAGGCATTTCATGGGGCACTTCATGGCCCGACATTGCTTTTTAGATCAACAAAACTAATAGATTCCATGCATGCTGCTGTGCGTCTGTCTGTGCAATAGATCACAAATTTAGTGAAGTCAAGGAGGTTAAGAGAAAAGCGGCACACGAACCTTAAGCTGAGTGTGTCACTGGTATTCTTACCACATTTTGACGTCTTCTGCGATCTAATACTAAACAGGTCTAAGCAAATGCACTTCAACGTGGAATATGATACAAAGTTCATACACATTATCATAATTAATGTGCACAACTGAAAACAATGAAAGCAAATCACGAGAATGTTATTCTAAATTTGTTTTCGTCATTTTCAAAATTTTAACTACCTTTTCCTACACTAACATAAGATAAATAATGATGACTGAAATTGTTTGAACTTGAAGTTCGGCTTGCAAGCGTGATGGGGATGAAAGCACGCTTCCATCATGAACTAAGTAAACAAGTTCAATCATTTCAACTCACATTGTTCCCTATGGGTTGGCGTTACGTATCATTCACGCCTTAGCTGTAAGGACACCCAGTTCAGTTCAGAACGTTCAGTGTAATACTATATAGTTTTAACAGCTTTTTAACTTACATTTTTGTACATTTTACTGGGCAAAATGTACACAAAGGTTAATTTGGTTGCACACTTCTATCTCCGTAAGCACACATGATTGTTTAACAGACGTAACGGTTTCACTCAGGGACAATTTACAGGAAATGGCAAACATACACACGATGTTTATCAAACAAACTATCCCGCCCGAGAGATTATTTATAAGCGATATTTATTCATTGGAAAAGAAAAGACTAACCTGGAAATATGCTCTTTTTTCTGTTTGTTCGGTTAACACCAAATCTTTCGATGTCTATTCTTCTCTTCTGCCTCAAAGCGATGACCATAACTCGCAGACTCATTATCAGCAGAATTAAAAATGGCAAAATAATGATCATAAATAACGCAAAAACACTGAGCCACAACGGAGTGCCTTCCCAGACCACACCACAGTCTAAACTTTGTGTAGAAAACTCTATATTGCCCAAGAAGGCGAAGAGTAAGACGAACAAGACGCTCTGAAGCCAAGAGTAAGCAACCATGATGGCGATCGTTTTCGCGGTGACACGACTTATGTACCTTAGTGGATCGCTCACAGCAATGTGTCTTTCGATGGCCAACATGACCAGTGTTACAGTGGAAGAAATGTAGAACGGATATGATAAGATTCCTCCGACTTTGCAAAGTAATCCATCGTCTGCGATGATGCTAAGGTCTAGCACGGTAGCCATATGGTACGGCATGAGAAGGAAAGCTGTTAGGAAGTCACTTATCGCCAGATTTAATATCAAATAGCTGTTTACAGAGTGACGGAGTCGTTTGAATCGGAGAATAGCGATAATAACGAGCAAGTTTCCGCAAACTCCAAAGATAATTATGATTCCAAGCGTCGTTGCTAAAATTGATTTCTCCGTTGTAGTCCACCTGTGAAAATTTGCTTGTGACGCCATGAGCGGTTCGAATGGATCCAGTTAAAGAACGGCTGTTCTGATATCTCGATGGTGCGGTCACAAGGGAAGATAATGCATTTTGCCAGTTGGCTCACTGGAAAGACAAATAAAAGATATAAATAAACTTTTAGGCTACCGAAGATATAAACATGTTTTACATTGCTCGAGGTATTGTTATAAAAGCCCCATTCAGTAAGCTGTCAATACCTGTACACTATTTATCCGTTTGGTTAGCATTTTCCTCACAGATTATCATGCAACATCCGGAGTTCTGCTGGAGATAATTAATTTTTTTTAGTCAAACCGCAATTTGTTACAAAAGAATGCAGACATTAGGCTGTTTAGGACGACAACACACAGTGTAAGGGCAGTAGAGTATATCGATTAAAACGATTTCGAGTATGCACGGTATCTGCTGTCCATTTCGTTTCCTGAATGTTTCTTATGATATCAAGTTTCTTACAATTGTAATCTTGTCTTGTCTTAGGCGGCTCGGACTGAAGCTCGTATGCGATTTTTGACGCTAAGTATCGTTCAGAAACAAAAGATATTATCTGAATTTGTTTTCGTTAGTCAAGTGGCTACCGTGATCGAGATCGTTGATCTCTAAATTCTGATCACATGTTTGCGCTTTATTGTTTGTATCGATCGATATAGTCTTTGTTTTTCGCATTATGTATGACAGTTTCAACTAGCTTCAGCACCAAGGGAGTACGTCCACCAATACAGGCTGAAACTGACTCATTTATTGTTAAAACGGTCGTGTCTGACTGCTAATTGAAGATCTCATTGAAGACGAACATATATAACGCTGTAGACGTGACAACACCTATCCTTTGCCTGTACCGTGCTTGTTGAAATGATAAATCAAAAAAAAAAAAAAAAAAAAAAAAAAAAATTAAAATCCTTGCTTGGTGAAAATGCGATTATCAATAAGCCTAAAGTTTGATTCAATTCCATGTCACCGCCATACATGTATATTCACGCTTGGCTTCGACAACAGATAATTGTAACGACCAATGCTACGCCTCAGAAGAGTGCCTGACTGACACCGAACAAGTAACTTACTTACTTACCTTATCCTTCTTCGATCAATCACAAGACAGTATGCTTTCGTCCTGATTGTATATTCACAATTTACCGATAACGACCTCGTAAAATAACGGCAAACAATAGCATACGGAATATTAATTCAATCAGGTCGACTTTGCTGTGTTGTTTTGACTATTTATCCCCGAGGGTCATGAAATATAAATACTGATTTTAGCTGAGAATTTTAATGACGTTTTGTAACGGTGAATTACGTCATAGCTCGTTTAAGAACTAAGCTCTTCCTCTTACATCTTACAATCTGCTCGTTTTTGGGCCTGTGTCGGACATGGACGCACTTTTAAAACGGTAATCGCAAACTAAATGGATTTTCTTATGGTTTTTAAGCAAAATAAAGGGTTTCTTTCACAAATAACAATCTCTAGAAAATGAATGAATAATAGATTTTTTATCTGATGTGGGAACACACCGCCTACTGTGGCCATAAATAATGAAAACAATTTAAGTTCCATTCTCAGCAGGAACAATGCATTGAAATGTTTAAGCGTGTTTAAGATGCTTGACAATTGATGACCTTTGTATCACGTACGGCTAGAATGGCTCTTATGTTGTTCTATGAAGCAGGTAATTTTAATTTGCCGCATAAAAATAATTTCCAATTATTATTCAGTAGAAATACAATAGAAATAAATGAACCATTGTATAAGAAAAATTAAAGGTTGCATTGAATTCCAAACAACACAGAGGCAGAGTTAGAAACAATTTACACCCAAAAAAAAAGAGTAAACAACAGCATGTCAACCTAAGAGCTATGTTCCTTTTTACTTCATGGATTTTTTTTTTACGCACAATTTCCCATTTCTTTCTCTGCTAAGTCGTATAAAGAACACACAAGAACAACGAAAAGCTAAAGCAACAAATATAACGAGAGACGTTTTGCCAAAATGAAATTTTGCCTCATTCAATCCATTTTACTTTTTGCTTTATTTTTACAAGTATCGTTTAGTGATTAGAACTTAGAGTGAAAAATATTCGGACTAGTGTTTAAATTATCCTAATTTCGACTCTGATTTGAAAAACGCCTGATTTTCGGCACGACTGGAGTCACTGGAGGCTTGATTTACATCAAGTGGTCGACGCTAGCGTCTTATTTCAACGATCAAAACATAAATGAGTTCAGCCTGACCTCGACCGTCAAGTTATCTAGAGCAATCAAGTGTTATCAAAATAAAGTGCTATTTACGTCACTATTTATTTTGATCTACATCTTTCTTAGATTAAAAACAAAAGATATCGAAACTGAAAACGAAAAATGTGTAGGGAAAATGAAAAGACTTCGGAAGCGTCGCTATTTGCCCTGCAGCTGTAATCCACGAGCATGGTAGACATTTATAAGCGGCACACGAAAACAAAAGAGTCTTAACAATTCTCAACAAATAATTATTGAGTTTGGTTTCCACATAATATTATCTGTTACTATATGGCGAGAAATAAATTATTTGGAGATGCCGCCGGAAACGAACGATAAAGCATTAATCTACCAGGCAATTGTCTAGCAAGTCATAGTACTTGTTGACAACCGTGTTTAATAATTTCAGTTTTCACAGGAAAAGTAAGCTCATCTTTCATACTAGTTTTTTTTTCTGACTTTCGAGCAATCGGACACTGTCACGATGGCCTATGACTGTTAAAGCCGGGTCCTCACTTGCGACGCAACTATGAGCATAAGCATAAACATAAAAGAAGCTCTAGTGGAAACGACCGGACACAAGCATATATAAGCTCGCGCAAGCATAGGAATGCCAAAACCTTGCTTTCTTCTTATGCTTACGTCGCTGTTATGTCCAGTAGGGACATGTTTGTCATAAGCATAAGCACAAGCGAAAGACTTTCAGCCAATCAGCGAGAACTATGCTTATGTCAACCATGTTCTTACTGGACATAACAGCGACAAAAGCATAAGCATTAGGCTCACGCTTATGCTTATACTTATGCCCTAGTCGTCCCCACTAGCGCATAAACGTCTTATGTTTATGCTTATGCGCATGCTTGCGTCACAAGTGAGGACCGGGCAGAAACTGAGTGGGATGGAGTTACGTGACTTTTTGCATAAGGCGTTTCCAGAGCACACTAGCCGTTCAACAATGGCGTCTGACGGAAATGTCTTGTAAAACGAAGTCTCTCTTGTAATACCAGAACCTTATTCTCGCGAACAAAGAGTGCACCGAAGGGATATCAAGACTTAAAGATGTCTTATTTTTCTTTTTTACAGTTCTTTTTACTTTTCTGACTTGCAGCCGCTTATGATATAATCGGAAGCCGCGCCTTAATTTGTGTGTGTGTGTTAGTATTCATTCATCCGAACGTGAACCACAACGACCTAATGTTGATTTATCGGTACATAAAAATCTAAATGAGCTGAGCATTATCTATAGGTAATTTCTTGCAGGTGAGAAGGGGGTTTCTTGCTAATCCACTTCAAAATTGAATATCAGTGATTGGCAAAGGTTTTCTACTTATACAACACATATCATTTTAACAATTCCTCACATTGTTCCCTACGGGAATTGTTATTACGTAATCTTTACATAAGAACGCCCAGATTTTCGCAGAACTGACCCTCAGAACTGACACTCTGATCTGACTCTTTTTTACCAAATTCATCATTAAATATTTACTCCACGAAACGTAAACATATCATTGGCAGTTTCTGCGACGTCAGGTCTTATTGGTACACTAGCTATGAAACCTCTCCAAACGGAATAAATATCGATCTAAAGAATGACTTCAAATATTCAGCAGATATATCTTAGCATGGCGGTTTAGTCATCAAAACGATAAAAATTCCTACTGCCCAGTTATTTTGGAGGGCTTTATAACTATATAAATTTTCGCTGATAAACTAAATTGTCGCTATATTTTATTAAGTCCGACCAGGTACAAACACGGGCAAGTACGGACCTTGTAGTCAAAATTAAAACGTTCAGTGTTATTTTCGCTAAGTAGGGGAAACAACAGGCGCAAATACTTATTTGTCCGTCGCCTCTGGCAAGAGGGTGAGAAATATCGTAATATTTCCTCTCCGGGGATTAATTTGTGCGAACTTTTAACTCCGGATGTGCGAAAATAAAGAAAACGAAACCCACGCGTGAATAAAATGCCAGTTCGAGTGAAATCGCCTCAGAAACTAATAGTCTGGACCTTACACGCACATTCGTAATTTCATACCATGCTACGTTGCCATCATACTGGACCATTTAGTTTAGTATCTGGTGAACAATGTTTATGCATTAAAAGAAAGTTTACATAAAGGGCTTCATTAAACGCTCGCAGGGTTAGTCGACTAGTCGTAAACCAAGCTGAATATACATTAGTTGTGAAGTACATGCCCAAAGAATATTGGGCTCTTGAGCTAACTCGAAATCTTCTAATTGCTGGGGGCCGTGTTTCGACTCGTCGGCGGTTGAAAGTCTGTCAAACAACCTAAACCTGAGAAAAATTTCAAATTCAAACCAACAGCCAAGACAAGATATATAAAAAAATTAGAGAGCAGATTTTTTTGGTGAAAATTTAATCAGGAAAAATGTTTGGAATCGGACTCAGTATTTTGAAATTGTGACGGAAGGTTTATCGGTCACTAACTTAAGTTTCCACTTTATTCACAAAGTAATTTTCGACAAGGGAAATTGTGAGTTTCTTTTTATTCTGCCCCTGAAAAGCGACTGCAATTTAAAAGAGTAGGTTTTTTTTCTCCGAAAGCCTGTGATCTGCTATATTTGGCCTATCATTTCGCCGCTGCAAGCAAGAGGACTTCCACAGGATCGATAAACTTTTGTGTAGGCCTGTTGATGTGTAACGTTTTCACAAAACAGTACGTGCAGATAGTGCCCGAGATGTCAAGAATTTTATTTTATTTTTTTTTTTTTTGGGGGGGGGGGGGGGGGGGGGGGGAGGACGAGGGTACTCTAGAAAGTTTTTTTACGGGGAACCTCCGCCCCGAGGTTCAACCCCTCACCCTTTGTATGCCAGTTTGACAGAGAAGCTACCTCTTTCGTATGCCTTTTATTGAAAAAAAGTACTCCATTTACATGTATTCTTGAGATAAAAACACTGCATCCTTTTCCAAACTCTTCGATTGAAGTCAATGAGTCAATACTACGTGACAACATCAGGCATTGCCAGAAGAAATGTTAAACAAAAAGCAAGTATTATTTGTTCAGTTCGGGTCTTGACGGGAGTCAAGATACTCCGATTTCCCTACACTTTCAATTACCTCAACTTGTGAAATCCCTACTCTTTTATATACCTGGAGTCCGAGAAAGGTGCCCCTTTGGTGCGGAGCTTCCCCGTATAGGCTGTTATAGAGAGTCCCCCCGGGGGATTGAAACCTCTACGAAAATGTTCGTTATGGTTCGATTTCCTTAAAAAATTACCTTTCCCATCGTTTTCATTGCTTGATCATCAACTATTTGGCTTCGTTCCTAGTTCTGTCTAGTTTTTGTCTAATTAGTTAAGTTAGGGTGGTCCTTGGTTCCCAAGGTCAGTGAACCCAAACATGTCCACCATTTAGGTATTTAGCTGGAAACCTTCACGCTTGTATTTACCAGTAGAACAAAATGGACCGTAATGTCATGGATGTTCCTAAAAATGTTCCGTATAACGCTTTTAGGCTGCCTGGGACCCGTTTCTCGAAAGCCCCGGAAACTTTTCGGGCCCGAAAAGCCATTTTTAGTTTATCTGTATCTAAAAANTTGATGTGTAACGTTTTCACAAAACAGTACGTGCAGATAGTGCCCGAGATGTCAAGAATTTTATTATTTTTTTTTTTTTTTTGGCGAGTAGCGGTGAACTGAGCGGAGGACGAGTATGTCCTTGCAGTCAGAGGTTCGGTATTGCGGCTTACTCTCTGTCAGGTAATGCAAATAAAAACAACAACAACGACCCTCTGGAAATCAGGGCATCGGTGTGGTAACCAGCCACAACGAATAA